TGAATGTTATTTGACTTAAATTGATCATACTGCAGCCCAAATTGTATATTGGAAGGGGCATGCATGAGAACATGTTATCACTACTGAAGTAAGTGAAAGTTCAATTTCTATTTTCCATTTTTGCCCTTTTCTACATGTTATCATCTACTATTATTAGGGGAAAAAAACAGAGAGAGAGAGAAGTACAGATTGATACTTCCAAACCTTTAATTATGTCTTTCGTTAATTCACTTCCCGTTAATCGTGGAAAAAGAAGTCCTGGAAAATTTTCATTTGAATCAACTACTAGCATGGATTATTGGATCTCTGGCACATACACGCAGCTTCTATAACCACTTTCCCTTTTGCTATTGCCTTGACACTCCTTTAATATGGCAGGTATACTCTGTTTTGGATCATGCTGCTGATTAGCAAGCTAGCATTCAGCTACTATGTGGAGGTGCTAATTCTATCATTGAATAGATTTTTTTATTATGGTACTTCCCAGAGTTCTGAAGCTTAACTGTGGGAGTAACAGTATGAACATCTACACTTATAGTTCTGGTCAATGATTTAGTAAGTGCTGTTGAAATGAGAGTGAAAATATCCACTCCTATGAGAGGACATTTATGTGTCTGCTCAGTTTAATTGACCTTTTTAATATGCTCATATCGGAGAAAAAATTTTATAAAAGAAATAAATTCGGGGGAAATGAAAGCATTCAGAACATGCCCTTTATGATCTCACAATTAATAAAGAATAACTAACAAATTAATTATTCTGTATATTTGTCTATACTATTTATTACACACATTAAGAGTGTGAGAGAAAGACTTGAAAGCACGGACTGGAATAGAATGGAAGTGACAAGTAGATTTTTGGATATAAAAATGGTAAATTTAGGAGTAAGAATGCCTTGGTATCCATTGTTTTTCTCCCTTTTTCTCTCAATTTCATGAACACTTTCTTTTTAAATTGGCATCTTAAGACCTTTCTGCCTATAGCCCCTCGCCAAAACACACCTTTCTAGATTACGCCCACATCAACTGAAAGTTGCTACCATGTCCCTTGGAACCAAAATGCCCTATCCTGCATAGTTCCTTTGGCTAACACTTTTTCTTCACTGTTACATGCTTGATGGTAAAATCCAGAGCTTCGGTAAGAAAGTAAATATAAATGTCAGGAATATATTTTTCATCGTATGTAATGTCACATCAAATTGTAATTGTAGTTGACTAAATGCCTTTTCCGGACATATGAAATTTTCTGTAGATTTTACTTGCTCAGAACTAATGAACTGGTTTTCCCAGATATATCCCTTGTTGAGCCAACAAAGTTAATCATGGGGATGCCAATTGATAACTACCAGTGGCACGAATTCTTTCCAGACAATGGTAGCAATCTATTCTTAAATGTTTATCTGACCTCTATATTCTGTGGATTTAGCTAGCATCAACTCACATTTTTCAAATGTTGCAGAAACTCACAATTTGTGTATTGTCATTGCAATATGGGCTCCCATTATCCTGGTGAGTTGAGAAAAAATTAAATTACGGATCGCTGAAGTTCTCTTATTTAATTAATATATGTTTTATTGATATATAGGTATATTTTATGGATACTCAAATATGGTATTCCATTTATTCAACTATATTTGGTGGGATTATTGGAGCCTTCAGCCATTTGGGTGAGGTGAGTGGCATATTTATTGTAGTATTTGACTCTGTAATCCTCTTTCTATTTTTTTTGTCAAGAAAGAAAAAATTCTTGCATATTTAAGAACAAGCTAGGTCATGAAACTCATTGTTACTATTATTTTTTCTCCAAATAAAAAATTGGTATTTTCTCCTAATAATAGGTAGGAATAAAGTTCTATTCTCTAATGATAAGATGGATTTTTGTGGACTAATCTCCTAGTCATATTTTGCATCTTTAGATAAGGACACTTGGGATGCTGCGCTCCAGATTTGAAGCTGTACCACATGCTTTTAGTCATTGCTTTTTGACTGAAAGAAACAAAGACATTGAAACAGAGGACATTGTACTACATTTATGTTTGACATTTCATAAATTCTTGCTGGTTTTGATTGAATACCTAAAATGTCCATTTTTGTTGTGGCTAAAGCAAACAATCTGTTTGGCAGGACCAAATGAACGCAGAAATATCGCATACTTCTCTCAGGTTTGGAATGAGTTCATTAATACTATGAGAGAGGAAGACCTCATCAGCAATAGGTACAAATGCTGCTTGCTCCCTACATCTTGCATAAAATGTGAGGATTTCAAGCTTCTGATATATTTTGACTTTTAATTGCCCAGAGATAGGGATCTTCTGCTTGTTCCCTACCGTTCAAGTGATATTTCTGTCATTCAGTGGCCTCCTTTCTTGCTTGCTAGTAAGGTATGTGGTTTGAATGAGAGTTGCTGTTAGAACTAAAATCGATTGGGCTTTCTATCCTATATTTCTGAACTTTCTTCCATATATGACAGATTCCTATAGCAGTAGACATGGCAAAAGATTTTAAGGGGAAGGAGGATGAGGATTTGTTCAGGAAAATTAGGAATGATGAGTACATGTATTCAGCAGTTGTTGAATGTTATGAGACGCTCAGGGAAATCATACAAAACCTTCTGTTGGATGAGGAAGACAGGATGTAAGGAAGAAATAGTTTGCACAAACGTCACAACCCCCACCCCCTCCCAAAAAAAAAAAAAATTTCCAGAAGGGAGGAAAAAAATAAGACAAACACGTGTTCATTTCTCTGCGCAGAGATCCTCATGACGGTCTGACCTCTTTCATGTGTGAAACAGGGTGGTAAAGCAAATTTGCGATGGAGTAGAACTGAGCATACAGGAGGGCACATTTGTCAAGGATTTCAAAATGAGTGGCTTACCTTCGCTTAGTGAGAAGTTGGATAAATTTTTAACTCTATTAACATCTGATGATGACAAAATTGAGGGATTGAAGCCACAGATAGTCAATGTCCTGCAGGATATTGTAGAAATCATGATACAGGATGTTATGATTGATGGGCACGTGTAAGTTTGAAAAGAACATATATTGGCATAAAAATGTCTTATTTGCTTTGAACTGATAAGTTTGTTTCAAGCTTTATGATGAGGGTTTTATTCTGCTCTTCCCAGAATCCTGGAGGCGCCTCCTCAGCATATGGTAGATGATGAAAAGAAAGGACAGAGATTTGTTAACATTGACACATATCTTACAAGGGACAAATCAGGGAAGGAGAAGGTGTTCTGTACAACTTCATCCTAACCAACGCATCACATGAATCATTCTTGTGTGTCTCCGCATTTACTTTTGTCTTTTTTTCCTTCTCTATAGGTTACTAGGCTGCATTTGCTTTTGACAGTCAAGGAATCTGCCATAAATATACCACAAAATCTAGAAGCTCGCCGGCGTATTACATTCTTTGCAAACTCCTTATTTATGAATATGCCAAAGGCTCCCATAGTACGGGACATGCTATCCTTCAGGTTAGTCATTGTGATGGACTAGTTTATGGAAATGGAAAATAGTGGGTGACATTAATAAAAATCATTCATGATCCTTTACTTAACAACTTAGGATTCTGGGTTGATGTGGTCTTTCACAAAAAGAAGGGAAAAGAATGAATTACATGATTAAAATAGAAGGAAGATGTCCCACTCTGTAGATAAAGTGTTTTGTTTCTTTGAAGGCCAGTGTCAAGAGCCATTTTGTTCTTTGTATGTCTGAATATATTAGAGCCATTTAGTTTTCAAGTGCAATTTTTCATTGTAGCAGCTCTTCTACTTGTCTTCCCCAATTTCTTGTTTTTTCAAATGGTTGCATTCCCTAATACAGAAAGTAGTGAGCTCCCCAAGAATGTGTGTGTGTGTGTGTGTGTGTGTTTGTGTTTCTTCTAAATTCTTGCTAACATGATGTGGAACCTATCTGCCCTGTTTCGCTGTAGTGTTCTGACTCCGTATTACAAAGAAGATGTTCTTTATTCTGATGAGGAGCTAAACAAGGAAAATGAAGACGGAATATCAGTTTTGTTCTACCTAAAGATGATATATCCTGGTAATTTTTTTATTTATATGTTTTCCTTTCATACTTTTGGGTGTCTTCTGACAACTGCTTAATATAAATGAAATGCAGATGAATGGACCAATTTCAGGGACCGCCTTAAAGAACTACAAGGTAAATATGATGATATCGATGAGCAGGAGTGTATTCGTCAGTGGGCATCATACAGAGGACAGACTCTCTATCGAACAGGTCCAGATTGTGTTGAATGTTGTCTTGGACGTATTCATACATGAAGTTCTTGTGATCATCTTTTTTTTTTTTTTTGGTCTTTTTGCTAGTGAGAGGAATGTTGTACTACAGGAAAGCTCTGGACCTTCAATGCTTCCTGGAATACGCAGGAGACAAAGGTTAGTTTTATGTTTTCTGCGGAGTGTTTCAAATCTAAATCCCAGACTTGCCCGAAGCTTTACATTTATTATTGAACTACATATTGTTCACTTTGCAGCTATCTTTGATGGCTACCAAACCTTGGATATGAGTGAAAACGATAAGAAGGTCCATTTAGACCGTGCACAAGCTCTGGCAGATTTAAAGTTCACCTATGTTGTTTCTTGTCAAATCTATGGTTCTCAGAAAAAATCCCAGAATGTTCGAGACAGAAGCTGCTATACTAATATTCTCAACCTGATGTTAACGTGAGTCAAATATAATGATTTGCTGAATGTAGATAATTCCTTGTATAATGTGAAAATCTTAAGCATCTTCCTCTTCAATAATATAAATGCCATGCAGGAATCCAGCTCTTCGTGTTGCTTATGTAGATGAGAAGGAGGAAACTGTTGGAGGAAAAAGTCAGAAAGTTTATTACTCTGTTCTTGTCAAGGGAGGTGACAAGTATGATGAGGTATAAACAAAATTCTACTACGATGTTTTATTGGCATTTCTGCTTCATGGATATTTTCTATAAGACTCCCATTAACTTGCTTAGTTGTGTAGGTGCTTTTTTTTTTTTTTTTTTTTTGAAAAACTTTTCAAACATTCCATGATCCACTTGCATTCGATGAACATCTACTGTGAAATCTGATAATGATATATATACTCCCTCCATCCCTTTTTATAAGAAACAACTACCATGTCTACCTTGTTCCTATTTATAAGAAACATTTGCAAGATGTTTCAAATATTTTTTGTTAGTTTCCTATTTTGCCACCATTAATTACTTGTTTTAATATCAATATATTTATTTATTATCTTATTTCCTGAAGCATCATTCTCTTTATTTTAATAATTTCCTTATTTTCTCCTTTATACTCTCTCTCCTCCATCAATAAGAGTAATTTTTAGGGGAAAAAACTTACAACTTTTACATATTATGATGAGCATAAACCCAAAACGAGAGTCTAATCTTAAAAGACTAGCCTATTAGGAGGGAAAGCTCCTTGAACTTATAAACCACACAAGACTTGTGAAATTTCTAATTTGGGATTCATAATAATGCACTCTCATTGAGAGCCGATGTCCTCGACGGCTCCACAAAACAGCACTTCACTCAGCCTCCTGTCAGTCAAAACCCTTCGTGGATAGCCCTCTCCGACAAGTCGACTTTCAATAGAAGTACTAATATTATGAGTATAAGCCTAAAGAGAAAGTCTAATTCCAAAAAATTAGCTATTAGAAGGAAGAGTCCCTTGAACTTATAAACCACACAGCATTTATGAAATTTTTCAATGTGAGACTCATAATACATATTTATCGTCTTTAACCAATTTTAACTAATTTTTTGATCTGCATCATTTATTCACAAGTTTTCCATAAAAAGAGGAGGGAGCATGTGATTATTGAGAAGTCATCACAAAAATTGGAAATGAAGCTGACGAAACCGTTTGCCTAGGATCTCAATTTGTTGACATGAGCTTGTTGCGTGGTGTAGTGGCTTTTTGTTCAATGTTTTGTAGTTCCCACTCCCAGTATATCCCGGTCCACATGCACTGATACTCTTTTGGTTTGCCTACAAGTCGTACCGTTCTTCGGTGAGGGAGTGGGTGTGTAGCCCTAATACTCCCCTGATTTCATCATACATTTCAAAGGTCATGTCGCAATTGCACGTAGTTGACCAAGGTGTTGTAATACCTTATCAAAGTAGCATCTGTTAGGAAAGTGTACAGGCAGGGTCCAAATAAAATACAAAAAATTACCTAAAATGCCAAGGGTGAAAACAAAATTACTTTTAGGAGTTATTGAAGTCACCTAAGAGAGAAACGCTCAACAAATAATAAATCTTTCTCCTCCCAGAATGAAGTTTTAGATCAAAGAAAATAGATTTTGCAGGTTCAAAACCGATTCCTGTGGAAAATAAGTGTTGAACGTATATGTCTGTAAGTTAAATTGAAGCGTACGAAACCTAATAACTAGTCATCATGTCCTCGATCAGATCATCTGATTGTTTCCTGAGAAGTATATGACTCAAACAGAAGTTTTGCAGGTTCAAAACCGATTCCTGTGGCAAATAAGTGCTGAACTTATATGTCTGTAAGTTAAATTGAAGCGTACGAAACCTAATAACTAGTCATCATGTCCTCGATCAGATCATCTGATTGTTTCATGAGAAGTATATGACTCAAACAGAAGTCATCAATCAGTTTTCAACCTATTCTCAGCAGCGTCTCCCTGTTTCAGATCCACCAAGACACATTTGATCTGGATCAAGGCTGCAGAGTTCTCCACTTTAGAATAAGACTAGAGTCCCATTCTGCAGTCTTCTTTTGCAGTCTCAAACATCACGATTCTTTCCCCGTGTCCGTTGCCGTGGAGTTCACCATCCATGGCATTATTAATTTATTCTCTTCACCCAAGTTCTGAACTCTGGGTCTGTTGTCATGGAGTTTACCACCCATGACATTAGTAATTTATTCTTTATCCCAAGCTCTGAACTTTGGGTCTGATGCAGCAGTTTCAGCAGTTTCTTCTGTAAAACTCCTCCTTTCCTCAATCTTGAATAAAATCAGTACCCTCTGATGCTAAATATCACCATAGTTGTTCTTATTGCTCCTTGATCATCAGAGGGGACTGGTTGTCCGCTTTCATGGTGCGGAACAAATGGTTTTTTGTTGGATGGCTGACACAGAAGAGTCCTCATCGACCAGAGCAAAAACAATATGTGTTCACAGAACTAAACGAGATCATAGGCTTTGCTCAGAAAGATGTAATATATTATCCCATGCTGAAAAACATAGCTCGACGTCGAGGCTCTGTTTTTCTTATTATTGAGCATACGAAGAAAAGCAGCTTACATGAGGAATGTAGGGAACGTTGGCCACAGAACGTTTGCCAATCAGATTCAATCGAACCAATCCAACAATGCGAGGAATGAATAATTAAGTTAGTTAGATCAGATTAAAAAACAACGAACCTTCTGAAACGGAGTAAACCTTAGTACCTTACGGACGCCTCGCAGAACAGTCAACGAAGATAAAAGTCAGCGATTATGAAGAGAAATGAACAACAAACTTGATGAAAATGTGACTGTCAACAATTATGTATATTTAATGTCCCTTCGGGGCATCCAACCATCATATGTATTTAAAATGTGTTATTTAATGTATGTGCATTAAAAGGACCAAAGGCTGAAGCTATTAGAGGTATCAAAAATATTTTTTTTAATTCGTAAGTTATAACTCCGACATGCTTTAGGGGTTTTGAGCTTGATTTTCCGGATTACGAGAAACTTAGGCCCCGTTTGGTGCTATGATGAAAGTTGGGGGGGTGGAAGTGGAAGTGAGAGTTGAAGTCAAATATTTGTTAGTCTGGTACATGAGAATTGGGCCTCCATGGAAATGGACTTCCATCAATAATTTTGGAAGTGAAACCGGATGGAACTATTCAAGGATCTAAGGAACTGAATACAAAAAGACTATTACACCTGTGTATTTATTTGTAACAATTGTCTGTAGCTGAGATTTCTCGCTTTTGCATTAATACGTATCCTTTATGTGTAGATCCTACCCTTAGATGTCTTAGAATTTTACGTTTCTTGCATTTTATTTATTTATTTATTTTTTACTAGAAGCAATATGCATCCCGTATACTAGTAGTGTTTATTACTACTTAACAAAACTTCATTCAGTTACTCGTCAACGTATATAGAAGATAAGTTTGATTTTCCAGTAAGATTTCTATTTCACACATCGGAAAGCCAGACTATAGTTTGTCGAACAAATGTTGCTGGATGCATGCACAAGTCGAGATCAAAATATACTCAGTGGTTGATAAACAACTTTCAACGTCAATGTTCTTGTTTTGAAGGATAACTTTCTAATGCAAATGCTTCTGTGCTTCATTACTAGGAAATATATCGCATCAAGCTTCCGGGTTCTCCGACAGAAATTGGTGAAGGGAAGCCTGAAAACCAGAACCATGCCATTATATTTACTCGTGGAGAAGCTCTGCAGGCCATAGACATGAACCAGGTTGCTTTTTTCCCTAAAAAATTAATCAAATACGAATATGCTTTTTTGCTTTTTCAATTTTTTGGCCTACAAGGATGAGTAATGCGTCTTAAACAATTGTTGCTTTCACAAATTTGTGCAACTTCACATACTTTCTGAACTCAGGCCATGTATATGAGTTGTTCACAGCTATGACTACAATGGTTGTGGAAAAAGCATTATTCATTTGGATCCGTTGAAATATAATCACTATAATTTATTTTCTTTTTTTTTCCATTTTTTCTTCCTCCAAGGATAATTACTATGAAGAAGCTTTTAAAATGAGAAATGTACTGGAGGAATTCCATAAAAGTCACAGTGGGCACCGAAGACCTACCATATTGGGTCTGAGGGAGCATATCTTTACTGGAAGGTAAACCTGGTAACAGTATCAAATTATTAAATTTGACTTAATTAGATTGTATGATCATTTTTTTAAAAAGCACTTATAGCAATGAACCTCATGTGCGAGCTTATAATTGTTGTTTTGCAGTGTTTCATCACTTGCTTGGTTCATGTCAAACCAGGAGACCAGCTTTGTGACCATTGGCCAGCGAATTTTAGCAAATCCTCTAAGGTTAGTCCCAAGTGGTTTGTTCTTGAATTGGCAAAGCACCTGTACCTCTGCCTCCTTTGGTATTCCAAAATTAATACTGACAAATTAAATACTAATATCTCAACAACTAGAACCAAACTAGTATATACTTTGATTTCCTGTAATATCGTGATTGACTTTATTAGATGCATGTGAACTTCAAGATTTTATTAAAAAACTCACCGTATTATTTTGTTTGTTAGAATCATATGAGATTGGTTATCTATGTTTATTGTTTTAGGATTTTTTTTTTTTCCTGTGCCAACCAGGAATTTGTGTGTATCATAAGACATTATTTATTTAATAAATATTGTTTTATCTGGCCCTATATTTTGGGGGCAAAAGAAAGCTACCATATCTAATACCTGTAACGATTCCAGCACCCATATTTCTATAAAAATGGAACGTCATTAACTTAAAAATCAGTTTTGGCCCCTTCATTGCTTTAAGAATGGGCTGTTTGCCTTGTTTCACGTTACCGGCTGAAACAGAGTTTCTAGTGTGAATATTGTTGTCTAGGAGTCAATGGTTGGAGGGTATTACTAATTTAAGCTGTAACATTAATTTGAGGTGCTATAGTAAGCCCCACCATTGATCGAGTTAGGAATCGTGGTAAACACAACCAAGGTTATAATCAATAATAGATCTAGAAATTATTTTGTCTTTAACTCAAAATTTCAGTCTTTTTTTTTCTTTTTCCCCTCTCTCATGTATAGTAAAATTTTATTTGCCTACTTCAGTTGAATGATTCATTCGGTGATGCTCCCTGTTGCAGGGTGAGATTCCACTACGGTCATCCAGATATATTTGACAGAATCTTCCACATAACAAGAGGTGGCATAAGCAAAGCTTCAAGAGTAATAAACTTGAGCGAGGACGTTTTTGCAGGTACTTTAAGGTTTGTGCAGAAAATGACTGGATGATTGATAGAACTTGTTGACTAACTGTGCTAATATCCATAGGATACAATTCAACTCTACGTAATGGATTTATCACACACCATGAGTACATCCAAGTTGGTAAAGGGCGTGATGTGGGCATGAATCAGATCTCACTATTTGAGGCTAAGGTGGCCAATGGGAATGGAGAACAAACACTTAGCCGTGATGTATATCGACTTGGAAGACGATTTGATTTCTTCAGGATGTTGTCATTCTACTTCACAACAGTTGGTTTCTATTTCAGTAGCATGGTAACCAATCTATTGCTGATATTGTCTTGACGGTGGATAGCTTTTTTTTTTTTTAATTTTTAGACAATAACAGCTGTTGCCAACCCCACACACACACGGAGAATGAACTTTTACTGATTTTAGACTGCATTCTCTTTTCCATACATGATAGAAGGCTTCTTCTCTTAGTAAACATTAGTTTCTGAGGACGAAAAATTGAAATAAGAAAAAGTGTAGAAATAGACCAATTTATGACTTGTAACGGATTCTCTGTGATTATAGCTATGATATTCAATCCAGTTATTCTATAATGACTATATGAGCTGGATATCTGGACAATGTCACTGTCACCTTAGAATCCTGCATTTGTTATCTGAAATGAGATTAAATTTATGGCTGTATTGTGAAGGAATATATTTCCTTTCAGGTAACTGTGTTGACTGTATACGTGTTCTTATATGGACGTTTATATATGGTTTTGAGTGGGGTTGAGAGAGAAATTCTTCAAAGTCCAAACATAGAACAGAGTAAAGCCCTTGAAGAGGCCTTGGCGACACAGTCATTAGTTCAGTTGGGCATACTGTTGGTGCTGCCCATGGTTATGGAAATTGGCTTGGAGAAGGGTTTTCGCACTGCCTTGGGTGATTTTGTCATCATGCAGCTGCAGCTGGCCTCTGTGTTCTTTACCTTCCAGCTTGGAACAAAAGCACATTACTATGGAAGAACACTCTTGCATGGAGGCTCAAAGTATAGGCCAACAGGTCGTGGTTTTGTTGTATTTCATGCGAAGTTTGCTGACAACTACAGGATGTACTCCCGAAGTCACTTTGTGAAGGGCTTGGAAATTCTTATACTCTTGATTGTTTATGAAGTTTATGGGCAGTCATATCGCAGTTCACATCTTTATTTGTTCATTACAATCTCAATGTGGTTCTTGGCTGTTTCCTGGCTGTTTGCTCCCTTCTTGTTCAATCCCTCAGGGTTTGATTGGCAAAAAACAGTAGATGATTGGACAGATTGGAAAAGGTGGATGGGAAATCGTGGTGGTATTGGCATCCCACCTGACAAAAGTTGGGAATCTTGGTGGGAGGAAGAGAATGAACACCTGAAATACTCAAATTGGAGGGGGAAAGCAATGGAGATAATACTTGCATTTCGCTTCTTTTTGTACCAGTATGGAATTGTCTATCACTTGGATATAGCTCATCACAGCAAGAGTTTGCTGGTACTGATACTTTGAACTCATTCATGCGTTATCCTGTTATATTAGTGATAATAATAGCTAGCATTATGGCAACATCTTACTACCTTTTGTTTTCCTCTTAGGTGTTTGGACTTTCTTGGGCAGTTTTGGTAACTGTTCTTATCGTGCTAAAGGTATGTGAATGCTACCCATATATATTGACAGATGGCATTGAAGACCATGCTTTTTTGACTTCCTACGATAGTGTATTGTCTGGTTACAATATTTAGTTAATCTTGATTAATTGATTTTCTTTAGTTTAACTTTAGATGTAAAATAGTCGTTTCCAATGAAATGCAAATGCCATGTCCGCTATTATTCAGCCGTCTTACAATTTAGGTTATTTTCCTTCCCTACGCATGCATTATATTTGCTGTTGTTTGTACTAATCCGTTGTGTTCATCAGATGGTATCAATGGGTAGACGAAGATTTGGCACCGACTTTCAGCTTATGTTTCGTATTCTGAAGGCACTCCTCTTTCTTGGCTTCTTGTCAGTCATGACTGTGTTATTTGTGGTATGTGGGCTCACCATAGCAGATTTGTTTGCTGCAATTCTTGCCTTCATGCCTTCTGGATGGGCCATTATTCTGGTAAGTTTAAACTTCTGCATGTTCTGAGAAATACTAAGACTACCTTTTTGCTTTTATTTATTATTTGACATATCTCTTTTCAAAATCAGGGAAATAATTACTTCATTTTCTGTTTGAGTTCATTCCCACAAGATGATGATGTTATATTAGGAGCGACCCCACTCCTCCCACCGTAAATATACTAGATACTAGTAGTTTTCTCTCCCTCAAAAGTACCAAAGGCTAGGTTACTATTAAGTCCGAAAATTGTGAACTATGACAATAAGTTTCTTCTTCACCTTCAGAATTCATGCACCAGGTCAAGACATACCACTTTTTTATTCAAACCCGTGGATACGTGTCAGTTTTAGGATCAAACCCTAGAAGACCGTTTCTGATATATGCTTGTTTCAATAAGCTAGTATATGCTGATAATATGATTCTCATTATCCTCATGTGGCATTTAGTATATGGATACCTTAATTTCTAGTAATATATTTGAACAAACGCGCGCGCACAATTGTTCAGCGCAGACATGATATATTTGCATGGCAGATATAAATAATGCCTATCCGTGAGTACTTTATGGATTATAAACCCGAGATTCTTTTTTCGTTTCTACTGTGAAGATTGCTCAAGCGTGCAAAGGATTCTTGAAAGGAGCAAAACTGTGGTTTTCGGTGAAAGAGCTATCCAGAGCATATGAATATGTGATGGGATTATTACTTTTCATGCCAACAGCCATTCTTTCATGGTTCCCATTTGTTTCAGAGTTCCAAACACGTTTACTTTTCAACCAGGCATTCAGCAGAGGCTTGCAGATTTCAATGATTCTTGCAGGGAAGAAAGAGACTGATAAGTCAGATTGACATTGTTAACTTTGCTTGATTAATTAATTAGTCCTTGATTATTCAATAATTTTATACATTGATGATCAATTTTTTGTGATTTATACAAATCATTGTAATTAAGGAACATCTGATGGATTTTATTTTTTTAGAAGAAGTAGCTGCCAAAATCAGGGACGCTAGAGTTTTCTGTTTTCCTTTTACAGAATGTTTGGACAGGACAGAAATGAAAATGAATATTTAACAGTCAATCGAATTTCATTTTTATTAGAATAAATGAACTTACCAAAGATCTTTTTACTGAATGACATTGACATAGCATAGAATAAATTAAATATGATATGAATGTGCATTGTATGATAAGCTGTGTTTAGTGTGTATTTAACTTCAGGTTGAAAATCATTAAAACCATGATTTTGGTGGAAACAAACTCTTAATCTATATTCACAAGTTCATATGTCTGTCTATTAAAAAAATTCACTCTTTCTCTTTTACAAGCTTCTTTTTCTTCAATGCTCTCAATTCAAATACCGAAATCCTACCATCTCCGTACCATACAAAATTGAAAATCAAAGAAAATCCAGATGGGGCATGTGAAAAAACGTTATGAAAATATGTTTTCAGTTTAAATGTTACATTACTACCAGTTTTTAGAGTGTGACGAATAAAATAGATGCCATCAGCCCTCAACACACACACATGTATATATGCCCGTGTGTGTGTGTATATCAACCAACTCAAGTTAGCATGAGTGGTAGAAGCTCTCGTTACTTAAGTATAAATTACTCTTCCGGTTCTAAATATAAGACTCCTATATTTATAAGGGTCTTACATTTAGGACCAGAGGAGTAGTTCGTATTGAAAGGTTTGAATTTCAACCTTTGTGTATGTAGCAACTTAGTTAAAAGGAATTTACCCTTTGCCCTCAATAATCCGAATGAGATATCTGCTGCCAACGGAGTATACTCCTTATACTCACGAAAATGCATACACACTATCAATTTAATAATTCATTAGGTGATTCTTTTCGATTCAAACTATCCTAAATTCTTCCATGTAAAGAGGTTTTCATTTCAACATTTTTATTTCCCAGAAGTCAGAAGCATTATTTAAATTCCACACAAACGAATAATTGACATATCCCCAAAAGAATTCATTAAAAATAATGGTTATAAATGGCCATGTATCGTGTCAACGGTCGCTTCAATTTTAAAATTGCTCACTGCAAAACTGAAGAATAATATAAAACTTAGAATGTTTAGTTAAACAATGACAGAGTCCAAATTTGCTGTTGAAAAAAAAAAGTGACAAAAAATTATGGTCTAAATATGATTTGTATTGATGGATGATGATATGTGAGAGTCTAATTTAATGATAAAAGTCAAAGTGTATTTATGAGAAGGTTATGATTAAGTGGGCAAATTAATTAGATGGGTTTGAAGACAAAGACATCTTAATTAATACTCAAAGCTGAGTTGGGGGGCGATCCATTTACCTGTCTCTTCACATCCAAGTAAAGGCCCTTCAATGCTTCGTTAAAAGAAGAATCAACCCTCAAAACTAGATAGCTAAAATTTTGTATTTAAATTATTTTTTGTTTAATCTCCATGTCATCAAAATTCATTGCTTTGCCTGCCTCCCTTTTTGTTCGTTGGTGTTGGACTTTTAATATGTGATTACAATTATTTAATGTTAACAGTATGAATTTGGATTGAAATCATTATGATTAGGGAAAAAAAGAACGAAAGAAAAATTTGATGTGAAATGACATCTAAATCTTTTTTGATAAACATGTAATTAAAAGTCCAAAGAAGTCTAACTTATTTGAATAATTAGTCTCAATTCGGGAGGAAGAACTGGTAATAGACATAAAAACATCCGGTCTGGTTCTATATTTGTTCGAATAAAATGCTTAGCTAATTGTATACGTCAAACCAAAAAATTCTTTCTTCTTCCAACTTTTCGATCTTCCCATTCATTAAAGAAAAAGGTTTTTAAAGATTAGTTGGTGGGATTAGAGTGTTAATGCAGGCAGATTATGTTTTATCATATTCACAAGGAGGCTCTCAGTATGGCTGATTATTTGGCCAAACTTGCCCCTAATATTACGGAAAAATTTTACATCCTTATTACCCTCCACCTTGTAACTAACCAAGAGGCGGAAGTTGGTGAAGATTCTTAGGTTGGTCTTGTGATGTAATTTTCTGTTTTTAAGTTAATGACATCCAGCTTCCATTTGAAAAGAAAGAAAGAAAAAAAAAAGAAAAAAGAAAAAGAAAAGTCACATCATTCTGGAATGAAGAGGGAGGTCAGGCAAGTAAGAATGGTAAGACTGGATCAGGGGAAGGCCAATGAGGAAGCTTATTTTAAACTTTATTTTTGTATTATTGCCTTTTATTTAATTTTATAAATTTATAATTTTTTTACTAAATTAATATGTTTTTGTCCTAAATGCATATTCTAAATAAGTAAGTCACAATATTAAAAAATGATTAAATAGTTATTCGTAAAAAAATCATGTGTTGATTTTCTTAAAATAATAATCCTATTAATAATTTATATTGGAGTAAAATTAACATAATTATACATCATCTAATAATCTAATTATAAGGTTAGTTTGGAAACATAATTAATATGTATGGTAGACAAATGATATTAAATTATTGTACTTAGAGCTACGATAAAAATACCTTTCGATTAACTTTTATATTTATGACTGAATTTTGGTTATTTGGTCTTAACAAGTTAAATTATGTGTATTCATATTTTTATTCCAACGCATACATGTAAATTTAAAAGACAACAAGTAAAAATAATAATTTGAAAACAATCATGTGAACGGAATTAAGGAACTAATAATTGAAAAAAAGAGCAAAAAATCTAATAATATGAACGAAATTAAAAACAAATCGAGCAGAACTATCTCTTAAGATTGTATGCAGAATTTTATTATAATGAATACTTAATGAAATAAATATAAATAAAGAAATAAAGAGGCAGAGCTTGTGTGGAAAATTGAGTAACGCTTTGTTGACTTCAAAAAGATATAAACATTTTGAAGAATGAAATTAATATTAAAAAAATAAGTTTGAAAAGTTTTATATAATACAATTAAGACTACTTTAAACAAAATAGCCGTTAACTACGGCCACTATGTGACTGGGCAGGCTGGTGCCGCGGCATGTGAAATTTTTTAATATTTTTTTAAAAAGTCTCACGGTCGAATTTAATGACGTTAATTTTAAATATTTAGATTTGTGTGTCAGGGATATCATTACCTAATGATCATAAAGAATTATAATTTCTTTTTACCAATCTCAACAATTTTTCTTTATAGATAAGCTGAGTTATTTAGCTCTGTTTTTTATATTGTATATTACTGTAAAACTTATTTTATAATATAAATTATATAATAAAATAAGTTTTATATTTAGCATAAAAGAAATATAATAATAATAATAAAAGGCCTGGTTCGTTTATTAACAAATTAGTAATAAGAACCCAATTTAAAAAATTATTTATTCTTAAAGATCCAGAATTTGCCGCTTATATAAAGTAAATGTTTTTTTTTTTTAACTAAGTTATTTGGTTAGGCCATATTCGAATATTATCAAGTTCACTTAGATAGCTCTCCTAAAATTGTTTCTAACTTCACACGAACTCAAACTTAAGAGCTGAGACCTCATGTTTGCCAGATAAATGATCCAACTTTTGGTTTTTAATATAAAAATTAGTTAACTAATTTGAGTAGATTAAAAAATTAGTTAAGTTAGTTATTTATAATAAATAGGTGTTGTATTTCTTAAAATATCATTGTCAATCAAGTGTATTGATTAGAACTACCATAATTATAAGGGCTATCTTAGAAAAAAAATCGATAAATATAAAAAACAAAGTATATAAGAGTCTTATATTTAGAACTAAAATAAAAGTTAAACGAATTTTTATATTAACCAGACGAAATAATATATTTATCAATTTGAAACTACATGGATATACTACTGTTATTTTTTAAAAAAAAAACTTTTGGTGTATGAATAATTGTATACAATTAATTTGAGGGATTAAAATTGTTAGGAGGGGAAGGAAAAAGCTGTTTAAACACGTGACAGGCACATGATGCATGTGAAGGGCATGATTGCAGCTAAGGTTCTGAACTTCTCTGATCATTCATTCTCATCTCATTCAATCCATTTTAAGGTCAAATATCATTTTTCTTTTACCTTTTTTAATTCAACGTTTAAAAAAATGACAATAATATCATATGCAGATAATTGAAACCCGCAGTAGTTGGTCCAAGGTCTTGAACTGACAAGGTTAAATAGATTATCTAATTCTAATAAATATGACATAATTGTTTTATAAAATATCTTTATGTAACATCATTGTATATGAGTTTCCAAGTTAGATAGATAAATTGGTTTTTAAAAAAATAAATATAAAAAAAGTGAATCAAAATCTTATACTCCTCCGGTCCTAATTATAAGACCCAATTGACTTATTTGAGGAGATTAAGGAAGCAAGTTAAGTTGGTTATTTATAATAAATAAGTGTTGTTATTCCTAAAATATCCTTGCTAATTAAGTATATTGGCTAAAACTATCATTATTAGAAGGATTATCTTGGAAAAAAATGTATAAATATAAGAGACAAAATGGATTGGGTCTTATAATTAGGACCAAATAAAAAGTCAAATTGGGTCTTATAATAAGGACCGGAGGAGTATTTAGTATCAAAATAAACTTTGTAACTAACATATAAAAATAAAATTAAATAGAAAATTGAATCTTATCCCTATAGTTATAAGTGCAAATCACATGTGGGACTAACATATATCAGATAACCTTCTTTTCTTTTTTGCATGAGAAAATTTAAAAAAAAACATAAAAACTCAATCTATCAGATAAGGCAAAGAGATTTCAATAAAATTACTCATAACATGTGTTTATACTTTTTAAAATAAAAATAAATTAGAGACACATAAATCTAGATGCATGTATGTCTGTAAATAATTATTAGTAAAATTAAAGCTTGTAAAATATAATTAATGTATATATATAAATGAAAAAGGGAAAAAAAAAAAAAAAAAGAAAGAAGAAGAGAAAGTTGCAGAGGATTTGTCTAAGGGGTCAAGATTGATGCTTCAAATCAAAGAATATGTCTGTTCCTTCATTGGTGGCTTTTCCTTTTGTGGCCCCTCAATGCAAAGCTCATAATTATTATTCTCAGAAAAAGACATCACTTCTTTATTCTATAATTTTCATTTCCATTTTTATTTTCTCTCTCTAATGCTCTTAAGTTTTAACATTTGGCTTAGTCTAATTGTGTTGACATAATTACCCTCCATTCTTTTCACCATGACATGATTACCCTCCTCATTTACAATTTTTTTTTATTTCAATAAAAGTTTAAGTAATTAGGCTTAGATCATACATCTCAACTCAAAGGTTACTCATCGATTATCTATAGAAAAAATCCTCATTCCTTTAAATTTAAAATATAAGCTAGACACGCATACCTCATATTTCTGCCAATAAAATTTGATGAATAAATCATTGAGAACTAAGAAAACTGCTAACTTAATTATTTTAGGATTATATTTTTTGAAATTCAAAACTTATTAAATTAAATTTTTATAGTTACAACTGTTTTGATCAAAATATTTTTATTATTTACCATTTACATAGTATGGTATTAATTGTTTTTTTAATTATTATTAGAATAAAACTATAAAAGATACTTTGATCGTATTATTTTGAAAGAAAAATGACTCCAAATGAGCGTATCTCACAAATAAACAAAATTATTTATATGAATGTAGGGTAACTTGAACATTGTTTTTGGTGGTTGAACCAGGTAACTTAAACATTGGTGATGAATAAATTTATTCTTTTTTATTAATATTATTAATATTAATATTAATTGGTTAAAATGTTAACATCCAAAGAAATAGGAGCTTAAGAATAAATTTAAATGCTCATGTTTATGTTACTATTGAAAAATCATACAACCATCATATATTTATTAAATAAATTTCGTACAAAAACATATGACACCTACGGCTACGTATATGTTTTTTCTTTGACTTATCTTTGACTTATCATACGGCATCTTAAATGACAACATAGTAATGAATAGTTATTAGTTTTTGACATGGAAATGAGATATTATGTCTCAATTGTACGCATTTTGGACTATTATAGTAAGCATGACATAATTAATTTTTTTCTCTTGTTTTTATATATCTTAAAATCTTACTATATTATGCATTTATGGAGTATTTTAATTATTTCCTATTCTGCGTGACATTTTTATGTCCATATTTACTTGTTGCTTGGATATGACATGAGTAATATTATTTATAATTAATCAATAATGTAACTTGTTATAAATTTTATATTTTTTAATTAGTAATATTTAGTTTCTTTTTCCATAATTTACTCACACTTTACATTAAAGATTTTGAGAATGTGAACTTTTAAATACAAGCACCACACATAGTCTTGATTTTCTTATTTTCTTTCTTTTTTCCCATAATATGTTTTTATTTGGAACAAATGCAAATAAAAAATTTTCCAATAATGGAGTGGAATTCTAATTTTTTTTGTTACCAACAGAGGGCTGTGATGTGGGTAATTTTAATCAGTATAAAAATATAAAATATGTAATCAACCTTGCTATTCATCCACAAGTGATGATGGTTTGTAATACTTATTCTACAAATTGTAATATGTTTTTCAATATAAAATATGTTTGATTTTGATAAATGAATTTTTTTGGGCCCAAAAATAAATACCTTTCCTTTTTATGCCAAAAGGACAGTTTGGGAAGTAAACATCAGCAAGCTAGATTTAGAGCCCTTCTTGTTGGATTGACGTTGACCCTCTCTCTCTCTCTCTCTCTCTCTCTCTCTAACAAAAGCTTTTATATATTTGCACACCCCACACAATATGTGATAGCTATACTGCAATACAATATAACACATTTTTTATTTTTAATGAAAATAATGATATCAAATTAAGTTAAACCTGTTTAATACCTCTTTTGGAATTACTTAATTTGTATAATCTCAAAAACCAACTAACATTTCTATTTTTTAATCAATAATCACAAGAATTAATCATGTACAAATTTATTGACTCCCTCTAAACTTTTTTTTGTGTGTGTCATCTATTCAACTTTAAATCTTGGAAATACTATTTACAAATAATCTCTCTAAAATTTTGGCAAAAAACCTCTCTAAAATTTAGGTCATGAACAAATATATCATACAATGTTAATAAAGGAGTGGACAGATTAACATCATAAACTTACTGTATATAAACTTAAAAATCTATCTTAAGATAGTTTAAAAAGTTAGAGAAATTACTTACATAAGACATAATATTCAAATAACCATATGCTAATTTTATATAAGCTTAGGAATCCAATTGATAATGATAGATGATAGTCCTCTGTTGAGTTCAAAGATTAAGGGATGAGAGATATAATATTTGTAAAATGAGACATTAAACTCAGATATGCACTATGTGATGCTTTACTGTGTGAAGAGTATTTTATAAAGAAATTACAGTCAAGTCCTACAGAAAAAAATAATTACTTAAAGGTCGTCACTCGAGTCATGACGGCAAAGCCAGAATTAACTAATTGCTTTTGGTTGTTTTCATGCAATGCAGCCTCTGTGATCTTGCCTCTTAAGTTACATTAAAAAAAGTCATTTCTTTATAAATAAATAAATAAATTTATTTTAAGTTTATCAAAAATAAAAATAAATTTGATAAAGAAGTAAATAATTATTTAATGATATTTTGTCATTAAAATTATTTATTATATTTTTACCTTTTTCATTAAAAATTCAATAAAAAATATTTTTCGTTGTTAAAAAATGTGCATTATATTTCTAGTAGAAAAATTTATGATAAAGTTCTGAAATAGTAGCTAACTTTTAAACTATGCATGCTTTGAAGGCTCACTTCGCTCTTTACTATTGGGTTGCTTATTCAGTACATTTCTGGTTTTGATCCCAGCTATAAATGCCTCTACTCTTTCTTTTATTTTTGCTTTCTCTTTACTGTTTCTCTCTCTCTCTCTCTCTCTCTCACTCACTCTCTTTCTCTATCTGCTTTCCTCCATTACAAACTAAGCTTCCTTTCCAGCTCGCAAGAGGTCCCTCTCTCTTCCCTCAAGCACCCATACCCACCAACCATTTTACCCACCTTTGCTTTTTCTGCTCTCCAAAACCTAGCCTTCCCTCTCTTCCTCTGCATTTTTCCTAGAAAATTAGATTTTTGTCTCGCATTCCTGTCCATTTCCTTCAAATCACACCCACAGTTCGTTTTGGCCCACTAGCGGTTTCAACTTTCGATCCCCACTTATTTGCTGCTCTTGGACAATTTTAATCTCTTGCGGCATCTGGGTTTTGTAGGGTTTGTTTGTGTTCCCTTCAGTGTACCTGCGTCTATCTATGCTCATTGAGTCTTTGTCTATTCAAAAGAAACGCACTCTCTTGCTTCTGTGGGTGCTAAAGGTGGTAGATCAAGGAGGCTAGCCTAGATCAACGTAAAGGTAAATACTATTGCCATTGCTTTGTCTTACCGGACAACTTTTTTGGGCAATTCCTATCTCCCTTTCTCTTTCCTTTGCTTGGATCGTAAGTGATGCTTCCTGGGTTTTACTTTTCTGCCAGATTTGTATTTGTGATTAGAATTTAGAAATAATGGATTAATGGTTTGGTCTTTGCTTTGCGAAGAGATTTAGAATTTAATGTGCCTTTTCTTATTAGGGTGAATTAGACGCAAATGGGTTTCTGATTTGCTAAATGTTTAATTTATTACCTTTCCTGTTGTCTTGGAACAGCTGGATTCCTACAATTTTCCTTAATTTTGTCGCATACACTGTCCATTGCAATACTTAATTACTTTAAAGAAACAAAAATAAAAAACTGTTTCAGATAAGCTTAAATTAGATGTTCTCAATCTCGAATAATCTCTAATCACAACAAAACTGCAATTGGTGATCAGTTGACTTGCTGTAGTTGGTTTGTGTTTATTTGATATTGTGATTTCATTGCAGCAACCGAAGCTGTAAATTAGCCTGCTCAGATGTGTTTTTCCAAGCCTTGTGTGAAAGGAATACATTGTTTTTCTATTTGGGCGGGAAAACCTTGATTCTCGTTGCAGAAGAACTTGGAGGACGAGTTGATCAACTTGCAGCATTCAGTATGTCTTTAAAAGCGGAACTGTCTAAGAAGGTTTTGGGTGTGAAATTATGGATTTTAATTGGGATCTGTGTAGGCGCGTTTATAATATTGATTCTTTGTATATTATCCATATGGGTGATGTTTCGGAGAAAATCTAGAAAATCTCTGGACAGGTATTCTTTATCCCAAATACCAAATATCTCGAAAGATATTAAGGTGGACAAAGTTGGGGTGCAGAGTTCTCATGATCACCCAGAAAGCGTATTTATTCCTGTGAATGACAAAGCAACTGATAAGAATTCAGATAAGATGGTTGTCCACTTAGGTATGAGCAAAGCCAGTGATCATGACAATATCAGTCAATGCAGCTCAATTTATCATCATGAGAGAGGATTTAGTTCCCTGTCAGGAGAAGAAGGAAGCTCTGGGACTGGAAAGAAGCAATCTGCATTATCATATGGAGGGCTTGTGACTGCATCTCCTTTAGTTGGCTTGCCAGAAGTTTCTCATCTTGGATGGGGCCATTGGTTTACACTTAGGGATCTGGAGCTAGCAACAAATCGTTTCTCAGCTGAAAATGTGCTAGGTGAGGGTGGATATGGTGTTGTTTACAAGGGCAGACTGATCAATGGAACTGAGGTGGCGGTGAAGAAAATTCTTAATAACTTGTAAGGATGCTTTAAAGTATCACTGGTACCTGATTTTGTCTTGTGACACTCGTTGACGTTTTCTTTCATCTAAAAAATGATATTGTTTAATCTTTCTCTGTAATTCCATTCCAAATTGAGTTTATAGGGGACAAGCGGAGAAAGAATTCAGGGTAGAAGTGGAAGCTATAGGCCATGTACGACATAAAAATCTTGTACGCTTGCTTGGATACTGCATTGAAGGAGTGCACAGGTATGATATCATTTCACAAAATTGTCATTTCATTTTTTGAATGCTTGCAAACACTATCTTTCATGTACTCTTGTTGAAGGTATGGGTTTTAGACCATCATACTACCTCTTTTGTGCTCAATAATAGTTCAAACTTCTTCTTTTTTTTTTTAATAACTTCTCATCTATTTCATTACTGATGTGCAGGCTTTTGGTTTATGAATATGTAAATAACGGCAACTTAGAACAATGGTTACATGGGGCTTTGCGCCAACATGGAATTCTTACATGGGAGGCCCGCATGAAAGTTGTACTTGGCACTGCCAAAGCGTGAGTTCAACTTGCAACTCAAACTTATGGCCATGGTAGCATTTTCAATTGTCCATTACTTGGTTTGGCTCTTCATCACCTTTCAGCGGTGATCATCATGAACAATTTGCTTTACCTCTTGTTTTATGCTGATGATCATCATTATCATTACCATATTTTGCATGTCCAAATATATAATTTTGACATTTCATTCTGTTCCTGTTTCGTGGTGATTTTAGGATATATCCTTTATATATTTGCATATTTGGGATCCATTTTAGCACATAATTGTCTTGCCTCTTCAACAGGATAATGATATATTTCTCTTTCCCATTGGACTACCTTATTAAGCCCCCTAGTCTAGCCACGGAGTTTGGATTAACTCCCCCCCCCCCCCCAAATTATTTCAAATTTGTCACCAATATTCTCTGTCTGGGAGACTTTATCATTCTCAAGTGGACTTTTTCAATAGTGGAAGCTAATATATTTCAGTGATTGGTGGCAGGCTTGCTTACTTGCATGAAGCAATTGAACCAAAAGTGGTTCACCGTGATATCAAGTCTAGCAACATATTAATTGATGATGAGTTTAATGCAAAAGTTTCTGACTTTGGATTGGCCAAACTTTTGGATTCAGGAGAAAGCCACATAACTACTAGAGTAATGGGAACATTTGGGTATCCAGAATATTTCATGCTCTTTCCTTATACTTAACCAAAGGAGTTCGAAATTTGGAAATTCACTTGTTACTTCTGTTCTGAATTTCAGTTATGTGGCACCAGAGTATGCTAATACTGGTTTATTAAATGAGAAGAGTGACATTTACAGCTTTGGTGTCCTCCTCTTGGAAGCAGTCACTGGAAGGGACCCTGTAGACTATGGGCGACCTGCAAATGAGGTACTAGATTCTCATGAACTCTTACAACTAGCTTGCCAATTCTAACTACTGAGACTATGATATAATTATTCTTGGGACTCCACTTGCTAGTTTAAGCTTGAATTTTGAGTGACCCTTGACATGGTACTGGATAATCTATGATCAAATGGTCTAGTGTTTGGTGCTTCCTGCGTCACGTGTCCTATTCTCTTAACTGAAATTAGTTAAGTACTTAGGTATCGATACAAGATATGGCGAACTTTTGTGTTGTTCTCACTTCAGGCTCAAATGGCTTTTGCGTAAGGAGATGCATTAGAGATTACGATAAACTATTCATGGGGTCTCTTTGCTTTGAAGCTTATGCTTTATGGTTCCTAATGGTCCTTGACCAATATGATCATTGCCCGTACCATAAGTAATGAGCATTTCATTTTTTCTTCATGACAGGTTAATCTTGTTGAATGGCTCAAGATGATGGTGGGGACAAGAAGAGCTGACGAGGTTATTGATCCAAGCCTTGAAGTTAAGCCACCAACACGAGCTTTAAAGCGTGCCCTTCTGGTTGCACTTAGGTGTGTTGATCCTGATGCAGACAAGAGACCCAAAATGAGTCAGGTTGTGAGGATGCTTGAAGCTGATGAATATCCCTTCCGAGAGGTTTCCACTACTATCTTTTTCTCTTTGTTTTTTTTTTTGGCCAACTTCCACTACTATCTTGTTGCCTCATATATGACTTTTATTGTTTACTTGGCAACTCTGAATCTGTGTTTAGAAGTTCTGCGACTTTTAGATGTTATGTGCATTTTTGTCAGTATCTTCTTGTATATATATGCAGTCTGACCTACCATCGTCTAGAATTATTCAAATAATGGATAAAATCTTTTTGGGGAAAGATCATATTTTGATAATCTGCATTATTTTTCCATACGTGTTTACTTTCTACGCAGATTGCAGTCAATATGTTTAATGCACTCACAATTTAAGTTATAGATGGAGAAGATTTATCTTGTGCTTCTAAAGTCATACTATGTTGTTGGGAATATGTTTCTACTGTAGCTTCATGATGCATAATATTCAGGTTGCCATGTTACTCCTTCAGTCCTAAATATAAGACTCTTTTTATAGTATGTATAAGGGTCTTATATTTAAGACCGGAAGAGTATAATATGAAGAGCTGGGAGTATCATTGTTCACTATTGAAATGCCTCTAGAGTTCCAGATGTTTCCCTTATATGTAGTAGTTATGTTGAAGGCAACAGACAATGTTGTGTATTAGCCAGAGTATTTCAGAACATGAATTTGAACTATGTATGCATTTGTGGCAGGTTAACCTGCTCATCAAGGCGTAATGTTATTTATTGATCAAATTTTAATCATTTTCAGGACCGAAGGAATCGAAAGAGCCGCTCTACTAGCATGGAAATTGATTCCATGAAGGATATTTCTGGTTCATCTGAAGCAGAAAAGAAGGCAGGAGAGGCCGAGAACCAAGCACCAGATACAACTGAGGGGTAGGAATAGTGACAACCATATGACTTGCCTTTGCACCCAAAAACGAGTAATTATTCAATATTATATATCTACCAAGTTTGTCCCTTCAAAATTGTTCCTTTTTCCTCCCTGAACCTGAGAAGAATCAGATTAGAGAACGCCTCTATATAATGAAGAGTTTTTTCATTCAATGTGGCCATTCAAGGATATGCGATATACCATAACCACAGGGTAGAATGAGGAGTGAGAGAGAGTGTTTATGTTGTACAGGTGTCTGTCTGCTGGGACCATCTTCTTACATGTTTGTTAATTTTTTTCCTTTTCCCTTTTACCCCTTTCTGACTATACCTGAGTACTTGAGCAGAGTGGAGAAAGAAGACTCTTGTTTGCCCTCATCTTTTCTTGCTATTTTGCTCAGTTTGTGTTTATGATTGTGTCTACTCTTCTAAGATATCAATCCAATCGTTGGCTTTTATGTAACTATAATGTTTGAACAATCATTAATGTTGTCTTGAATTGTAAGAAGTAATTATATCTAATTCTATATATATATATATATATATATATACTCCTTCGGTCCTTAATATAGGATCCAATTCTTGAGTTAATTTTGATTCTAAATATAAGACCCATTTTTCATATTTATCAATTTTCTCTAAATTACCCCTATAAATACTATCTCAACCATAGTCAAGTGGAAGAGGGAGATGAGGTATTAAGAAAGATGATTATGGTGTTTTAAGAAAAAAACCATGTTTCACTTTTCTTCAATATAATTAATTACCTAACTTCCTTAATCTATTAATTAGTTAAATGTGTCTTATATTAATGACCGGAGGAGTATTACTTAGCAATCTTATTTCTTGTTTGGGACCTTTGGAGAAATACCTTTGCATTGTGATTCCATGTTTCTACCTCTTATCTTTAATATAAGAGCTAGACAAAAGATACAAGACTTTAATTTAATTGGTCTCTCAAATTTTTAAAATTTTATTCTTAAAATATCTATATTGATTGTATATGTATAGTTAAAAGAATTCTATCAAAAGATAATTTTAATGCACATGATATTAATAAAAATATCTTAAGAAAATCAATGCTTATTTGTGACAAATTAATTTTTTTAATATTTTAAATTAGCTTTTTAACTCATTTATTGAGAATTAAAGGTGATAGATGTTTTGAAGCCTAGTACTTTTGAGAGTTCTACCTCTCTAGAGGGCTTGAGTTGTGTCCTCAAATTAAAAAATAAAAAAAGCGGACCATAACCTTTTTTAATCGCTTTTAGACAAGCAGCTTTTACTTTCACGATGAAATTAGATCTCCCACTTTTTTGGGTAAAAAGATTACACTTTTTTTTTTTTAACATGAAAGGAAGTTTGATAAAATTTTGCAGTAATATTCCTCCCAACAGGAAATTAGACTATAACATAACA